CCCCCACCCTTTTATTTTTAGCCTGTCTTTATCTTCATTTTTCAGGTGTGTCTCTTGTAGACAGCATATTGATGGATTTTGTTTTTTTATCCAATCTGCTACCCTCTTTCTCTTCATCGGTGCATTTAAACCATTCACGTTCAGTGTGACTATTGAAAGGCTAGGTTTTATTTCTATCATTGTGTTGAGTTCTTTTTGGTGTTGTTGCTAGTTACTTTGGACCATGGAGCTTTCTGTGGTATATCTGTAAGAAGGACATCTCTGAGTCTCTCCTGCAGTGCACCTTATTTGCACTGTTAACAATACTGGCCGATTTCCAGTTATGACCAGGTTGTTGTTGCTGTATAATGTAGAGTAGGAACTAACCCATAGCTGACCCAACAGTGGGTTTTCAGAGGCAGTTAATCACATGGGAGGAGATTGCCCATCCTTCTCCTATGGAACAACTGGTGGCCTTGAACTGCATGCCTTCAGGATTGCAGCACAACTTCTTGCCACTAAGCCACCAGAGTTTCCTAATTATGGCCATATGCATTTTATTTGCATAGTCACATCCAATCATTATGCAGGAGTCATCAGACCATAAATAACTAAGAGTCATTCATTACACGACTCTACTCAGATTTCTCAAATTGTCTTTGTCTTTGATTTCCCACATTTTTTTTGTTACTTAAGTTTCTATCCTAGCCTCTAGAGCATACTTGACCTTTCACCCTTAACTACTTTATTGTGGCATCAGAATTGAGGGAAGACTCATCAATAGCTTGTGATATGCAGTTGACAAAACTTTGCTTGCCAAAAATGAAGAGGGCCTGAAGCATTTGCTGCAGAAGGTCAAGGATTGTAGTTTTCAATATGGATTGAAGCTCAACATCAAAAAGACAAAGATTCTCACCACTGGACCTATCTATCATGGCAGAACCATGATAGATGGATAGGAGATTGAGATTGTCAACAATTTCATCTTGCTTTGTTCCACAATCAATACTCTTAGCACCAGCAGTGAGAAAATAAAAAGACGAATCACATTGGGAAAATCTGCTGTCAGGGACCTCTCCAGGGTACTAAGGACCAATGATGTCAGTCTGGAGACTAAGATACACCTGATCCAGGCCATGTTCTTTGCAATTACTTGCTATGCATCAGAGAACTGATGCATATTCTTAGACAATAGCTAAGGATGACAGAAAAAGGATTGATGCTTTTGAGTTGTGGTGCTGGAGAAGAGTGTTGAACATTCTATGGATTCTCAAGAGAATGAGTAGGTTTTCCATAGAAAGAGTGAAACCAAATTGCTTTTTGGAGGCAAGGATTTTGAAGCTCAGCCTCACACACTTCTGGCATATTTCCAGGAGGGACCAGTCCTTGGAAAAGGACATTGTGCTCAGAAGGGTGGAGGGACAGTGCAAGAGAGGAAGACTCTGGATGAGATGGATTGACAGTGTCTGGGATAATGGGATTAGATGTGTCAGAGATAGTGAGACTGGCTCAGGGTAAGACAAGGTTCAGAGGCACTGTGCATACAGTTGGTCACTATGAGTTGCAGGTGACTCAATGGCGTATAACAACAAACAACAACTTCACTGTTTATTTCCTAGCAACCAAGATATTCTCTTTCACAGCACAGTGACCAAAATCAGGCAGTTAGCATAAAGAAAACACTATCAGCTAATATAAATAATTTATTCAGATTTCAACAATTGTCCTAGTAATGCCTTTTAGAGAAAATGGAATCCTGGCTCATACAGTGCACTGCATTTAGTGGAGATTCCTGTTTAAACATCTCTAATCTGGAGCAATCCTCAATTTCTACTTGTCTTTCACTACCTTAACATCTTTAATGAGTTGCTTTCCAAAATGTCCCTGAAGTTGGGAGTGTCTGGTGGTTTCCTCATGATTCATCGCAGGTTTGCTTTTCTGGCTAGATTATCAAGGAACTAATGTTGTGTCTTCTTTAATGTTTTATACCAGGAATCACATGACATCTGTTCCATTATATCTGATGTTAACTTTGCTTCCCTGCTTTGGAAGATCTGCAAGCTTTTTTCTGTGATAAAATTACATTCTGTCCCTTATTAATTGATAAGTAAATGAGATGAACATAGTTTGAGACTATACAAATGTTCCATTTTTCATCAAACTTTCACCCAGTGGCTTTGACATTCAATAGTGAGCCTTATCTTACTGATTTAGTTCTGTGATGGTTGCAAAATGATCATTTATTAGTTGACATTCTACCATCAGGACACTCTCCAGTCTCCCATGTTTACTTGTTTCTATCAGTACGGTCTCTTCTTTATTCATGGATTCTTAATTGAGATTTTGTTAGGAGTCCCTTTAAGCAGGTATGATGGACTGATGTGTCCACACACTTTTTTTTCCGGAGAAATAACTTTATTTGGACTGAGAGCTGGAGAATGGAAGCAGGACCTGAGATAACCATACTAAGCTAGAGAGTAGAGCTGAGGTTCCAAAATGGCAATCAGAGCTCACCAACCAAATAGACTCCACTTCCCAACAGGCTTGTTGTTAGTGTTAACGATAGAAGCCCTCAAGGGAAAGCTATCTGCCACACTACTGAAGTGGCCTACTCTCACATAAAAAGTACAAGAGTTTGTTTGGCTTTTATAAAATACATATTTTGTAATTCCATTTCCAAGACATTCCATCCATCCCTATTACAAAATGGTGTTTTGTTTTTTTTAAAAAAAAAAATCACATATCTAGATCTTAAGTTTGTCTTCAGCTTTTAGTTCCAAGAGCTTACCTCCTTAAAAAACAAACAAACAAACAAACAAACAAACAAAAACCCCAACATAACAAACCAACCCCCTTGCTAAACTCATCAGATGAAAATTCTGTCCAAGGACTCTGCCAGCTCAGGATAATGAGCTTTTCCCACTTTCCCTAGCTAGTTAAGGCTAAGCAGCAGGATGAGGTTCAGGCAGGACGTACAAGGGTTAATTCCCCTCAGTACAACATGGCATCTGAAGCTTGATGGGAGAGTAGAACTCGTGAGACTTGAGGGGAGGGTCCAGGCCCTGTATTTAGTCAGTCACTGCTGGAAGAGGAGGAGGAGGAGGGGGAATGCTTGCCATGTTTGTGGTGTTTGTGCATCTTTTTATGAGCTTTCTTCATTTTTTTCTGTGTCTTCTTATCCATCACCATTCCTGGTCCCACCATGCCAGGAGCCTAGGGATTCACAGGAGGCATGCCAGGGGCAGGTGGTGGGTAAGGAGGTGGATAGGGTCCTGGGGGGTGGCATCCCGGATACCCTGGTTGGGGCACAGGTCGAGGAGGTGCACATGGGAGGAAGGCTGGATTCCCATGAGGTACTCCTGGGGGAGTGGGAAAGGAGCCTGGAGGAAAAGCAGGATTGCCAGGTGGTGGATAGACAGGGTTGGAAACCCCAGGACACCCACTGTTGGGAGTTATGGATTTGGCCCCGGCGGTCCGGTACTGGCATTCCACATGTTCAGGTGTTTTCTCAAGTCTTTTTTACAACAGCCAGGGCTCGATGCGTCCTTTCCAGCCTCATCCACATACGTTTTTGATCACTTGGCTCGGCTTTGATGTCCATGTGTGTTCTAGTTACATGGGTCACTTGGCACCCCCTCCCCTATTCTTGCTCAGTAATCTGCTTTAGAACTGCTGTCTGGATGGAAGGGCAGCATTGACTAGCAGGCACTAGATAGGGAGCAGTGTGTGCTCTGGCAACTGGGTCTGAAAACCCTGAATGTAAGTAGATCCAAGAAAGGATTAGACAAAGGGGGTTAGTGCACACTGGATATGCAGTAGAAGTATCCAGTCTCCAGTTAATTTACTAAAGAAGATTGCAGAATTCAGGATGAGACCATCTTACTCTGACCTGCTCTGCCTCCATGATTCTATTCATGTGGCACACAGATGGGCATATTTAACATTCCCCCCCACCCCCCAGCAGATGGTGATAAAGTCCTCACTGTAACAAATCCCTGTGTGTTTTGATTTATTTGGGTAGTTTTGGAGAAGGAGTGTTTTCATTCATTTTTGTGAAGGCACCTTATAGCCTAGCCAGTGGGGATAAGGGGTGGTGTGTACATGTCAGGGGCCCCAAGATCTTGGTTTCCAGAGAGCCCTGCTCCTCCTCCCTTACCCTGTAGCGGTGGTGACCCTGATCGAGGACGGGAAGAATGACTCTGCGCTGTCTGAGTCCACACCACACCGGTGGCGGTGCCCTGGCTGCCGGCCTTCCCACAGCACCTACAACACCCTCTACTCCACATGTCTGGAGCTGTTCAAGTTCACCATCGGCATGGGTGACCTGGAGTTCACGGAGAACTACGAATTCAAGTCTGTCTTCATCATCCTGTTGCTGGCCTATGTGATTCTCACCTACATCCTGCTGCTCAACATGCTCATTGCCCTCATGGGAGAGACGGTCAACAAGATCTCTCAAGAAAGCAAGAACATCTGGAAGTTGCAGGTGGGTTGATTGGTGGGGTACGTTCACAGCCAACAGGACGTCAGCTGCTCTTGTCTGCTGTGTTTTTCTCTGCTGAGCATGTGAATCCAAGCAGCTTTTAAGGAAGGGAGAAAGCTCAGGCAGGCTTGGGAGGGGGGCATATCAGGCACCAGCATTTCCTCGGTTCTTCTAGCCCCTCTCACAAGGTTTTCCCATTGAGCATCATCTGTGATGAGATGCCAGAGTAGCTCAGCCATTCTTCACTGTTTGACTGTAATGGGTGATACTGCAGAGAGGGCGACAAGACTTACTCCTATGCGTGCCTGTCTCAAGGAACGTGGCCAATAGTGGGCACCACAGACACCAATATGAAGAGGGAAGTGTCTGACCAGCAATTTTCTGTGCCACCTGGTCCACACCTTTCTCCTCAACTGTCTATTGTTATTATAGAGTTGTTGTTAGTGGCTACTGAATCAATTCTGACTTGAAGTGATCCCATGTATGAGATAATGAAACATTTGGTCCTGTACCATCTTCATGGTCATTGGTAAGCTCAAGTACTTTGTGGCAGCCATTGTGTATTTGGGTGCCTTCTATGTGTGTTGGAGTTAGTGAGACTGGCTCAGGACAGGGAAGGGTTCAGAGCTGCTGTACACAGGGTTGCTATACATCGCAGGTGACTCAACGGTACATAACAATAACATGTTTGGAAGCAGGAGTGGCATCCACTTCCTAAACAACATGACTCTGAAAACTCTATGAACTTTGATAAATGTTGATAGTCGTAGAGGGGCTTCAGGCTTTTTGTTCTTAGGGTCGCTATGAGTCGTGCTTGACTCGACAGCAATCAACAACAGCCATGCCAGCATAGAAGCTCAGCTAAAAATCCAATCACATTGGGTAGCCCTGCTGCTGTTTGGAATAAGTGGCTTAGCCTCCAGCATTGTGGCAACCGGAAGGTACCACAGTGTGACAGAGTGTTGTTAAGTGCCTTACGTGATCCTCATTGGAGTTTCTCAATAGTATTATTGTTATTAGTTGACACTGAGTGGGCACCGGCTCACAGTGACCTTATGTGCCCCAGAATGAAACACTGCATTCCTGCATCATCTTCACCCTGGTAGTGTATTTGAGTCCCCTGTAGAGGCTGTTGTGTCTCTGTATCTTGTTGGAGAATTTTCTTATTTTGTTGGCCCTCTAGTTTACCAAAGGGAGCTCTGGTGGCCTGGTGGATAAAGAGTTGCACTGTCAATCCAAAAGTAAGAAAGATGGGTGATCTTCTCCTGTGAGATTTACAGTCTCTGAAAACCCACTGGAGGGTCAGCTATGAGTTGATTCTGACTCCATGGCAATGATTTTTTTCTACTTCACCAAATGTACTACATTTTGTAGGTATTGGATCTTCTTACTGTCCTCATTTCTTTTTGTGAAGGTATTAAGGCACAAAGAATTTAGCTTTCTGTGCCCAAGACACAACTAGGCCAAGCACCTAGTAAGTAGAGTTGTTCTTGTTGTTGGATACATTTGATTCGGAACTGACCCATTGCTGACTCTCTGGTGGGGTTTCAGACGCACTTAATCACATGGGAGGAGATTGCCCATCCTTTTCCTGCAAAGCAGCTGGTGGATTCAAACCGCGTACCTTTAGGATTACGGCACAGATTCTTATTACTGGACCACCAGAGCTCAGGCAGTTTCACTAATGAGGCCCTGCTGATAACCACTGTGTTATGCTGCCTCTCTGTGTGTACCTAGGAAAATGTTGCTGTCTCCTGTGCCATCCTCAAACTCGTGGTTACTGTCACTGTGACATTCCACCTTCTTGGAAGTGTGTTTCTTTCTTCCCTTTCTTGGATCCTCCGCTTTTACCAGCCTGATGTCTTTCCCCCCCAGGCTATCCCTTCTTCACAATGCGCTCAAATAGGGCAATCTGTTGTACGTAGTGTCAACTATGAATTATAGTCAACTCAACAGCACATAACAAAAACCAACATCGACAACAGGGAAATTCTGATTTGGGGTTCATACCCACCTTGGTGCTCAGGAGATTGTCTAACCAGATCCAGAAGGGACCAGAGGGGCTTGGGAAGGTCTGATGCTGGACCAACTGAACTCCTTTCATGAAATGTGCATCAGATAGACTATAGGATCAAGCTGAGTATGTAGAAGGCCCTCAGAGCCAGGCTTAAAAGCATCCGGGGCTGGGAGAGACCCAGAAAGGCTGAGCTTGTTGTCTGGAGCTGGCAGTTCAAGGTAATGCCTGGATAAGCCCTCTGCGTCTCTGCCTTTTGCCCATCTCCCCACAGAGAGCCATCACTATCCTGGACACCGAGAAGAGCTTCCTTAAATGCATGAGGAAGGCATTTCGCTCAGGCAAGCTTCTTCAGGTGGGCTACACACCTGATGGCAAGGATGACTACAGATGGTGCTTCAGGTAAGGCCTCAACTATAAATACTATGAGAGTTTTAGGCCTCAGGTGTGGGTGTTGCGATACCACATAGAGCCAGCTGTGGGTACAGAGGGTCTAGCTGTGACCAGGAGAACCCACCTAGAGTCAGCTATGAGTTGCTGTTGTTGTTGTTGTTGTTATTATGTGCCGTCGAGTCACCTACGACTCACAGCAACCCTATGTACAAAAGCCTTAAACTCTGCTCTGTCCTGTGCCAATCACACCGTCTCCGACACACCCATCCCGATTACCCCAGTCACGGAATCAATCCACCTCATAGAGGGCCTTCCTGCGCCTGCCCTCCACCCTCCCAAGCATGATGTCCCTCTCCAAGGACCGGTCTCTCCTTACAACATGTCCAAAGTATGTTAGACGGAGCCTCAGAATCCTTGCCTCCAAGGAGCCACCCGGTTTAATCCTTTCCAGGATGAATCTGTTTGTTTTCCTAACAGTCCATGGTACCCTTAATACTCTTCTCCAGCACCACAACTTAAAAGCATCAATTCTCCTTCTATCCTCCTTAGTCACTGTCCAACTCTCTGATGCATAACAAGTGATAGCAAAGACCATGGCTATGGGTACAAGGATTATTATAGGGCTTAACTGCGAAGGTAGGGACCCTTCTAGTACCAGCTGTAGGTACAAGGACTGCTCCAGAGCTTAGCCATGAGCATAGGGGAATCTCAGTTTTTGAGACTCAGACATTAAACCTTGGACAATTTGAGATATCCAGGAGTCACTCAAAACCAGGAATCGCATCAACCAGGCAGGACGGTTGACAGTCCCTGGGCCCCATAGTGTGGTAATTTGGTACATTTTCTCGAGTGTTGTCTAGAAAGCAGACCCCTCTCTAACTCTCCCCCTACTCGCTCTATCTCCCTGAGATGTGGTAAGGGGGTACATTTTCCAGGATGTTGTCTATAAAGCAGAACCCTCTCTTCTCTCCCCGTACTGGTCAATGGCATCTTGAGATTGACCTATGAGGAGGCCCAGCCCTTGGCCTGGGAAGTTGAGTATGGCTTTTAGGCTGGCATCTTTCGGCATTTTCATTCTCTCTTCTTCAGGGTGGATGAGGTGAACTGGACCACCTGGAACACCAATGTGGGCATCATCAATGAAGACCCGGGGAACTGTAAAGGCATCAAGCGGACCCTAAGCTTCTCCCTGCGGCCACACAGAGGTGAGGGCTAAAAGGAAGTGCAGCATGGATGGGCCTACTTGGCTGGTGGTCTGATGTTGGGCAGGCGAAACTCTGGGGCCACCTTACTCCTTGCAGGTCTTCTCATTCCCATTATAAAGTTTAAGGCCTTTAACCAGACCTACCTTTAATTTATAGTTTGTTGTTGTTGTTGTGTGCCAATCAGTCAGAACTGCTCCAAAGCTGACCCTCCAGTGGGTTTTCAGAGGCAGTTAATCACACAGGAGGAGAATGCGCATCCTCCTATGGAGCAGCTGGTGGATTCAAACCATGTGCCTTTGGGATTGCAGGGCAGCTTCTTGCCGCTAAGCCACCTAGTGTTAAATATCTACTATTTATTGTTAAATGATTTCCTCCCCTGGTATCATCTGTTCCCATCGTTGTTACTGGGTACTGCAAAAACCCAACTTCATTGTCTAATGCTGTGTAACAAAAATACAAAAAACACCACAAGTGGGTGGTTTTAAAGAACAGACACTTATTGTCTCATAAATCTGAAGGCTGATAGTTGGAATTTAGTGTGTCAGCAGGTTGGGCTCTCTCTTCTTTAGGCTCTAGGGAAGATGTTTGTTTCTATAAGCTTTGTAGCTCCACCAGGCCTTCCTTGGTGTTCATTGACTCACTCTGGCATGAAATTAATATAACAAAAGAAAATAGCTATTTTTAAGCAGGGTCATATTTGCGGGTACAGAGATGAGGTTCTTGGTGTAACTTTTTTTGGGTCACAAGTCAATCTGTAACAAACCCCAAATGCCACCCACATGCACACACTCTCACGGACATTCCTGTGCGTTCTTCCACATGCTTGCACAGCTGACCCAGCCACGTGCCCATGCACGCCAGCTCTGCATAGTACCTCTGGCCTAAGCACCTGTTCTCAAATGTTCCAGAGCACCCCTGCTCCAGAGGAAGTGGCTCGCCCTACACTCCACCACCTGGGGTGGACAGCCTGCTTATGAGCTGTGCTGTCTTCACCTCTTCTCTGTTCCTCACACTCCACGTCTGCATTTAATGTGAGATTATATGGACACACACAGCCTCTGAAAACCCACTGAAGGGTCAGCTATGGATCAATTTCAACTTAAGGACGCAAAACAACAACAACAACAACAACAACATCCAACTTTGTATTTAGAAACTCCAGTAGTATTTTTGTCAGAGGTTGAGATCAGACTGCTTCTTGGAGGCAAGGGTTCTGAAGCTTTGTCTGACATCCTTTGGAGAGGGACGGCATGCTTGGGAGGATGGAAGGACAGTGCAAGAGAGGAAGACCCTCGATGAGACAGATTGATTCAGTGACTGAGGTAATGAGGGTAGGTATTTCAGAGACAATAAGATTGTCAAGGATAGTGTAGGGTTTAGGGCTGTTATACATAGGGTCGCTATGAATCGCAGGAGACCCTATGGCACCTAACAACAACAACATTAATAAATGTAAGTAATTAGATAAGGCAGATAACAATATGGCAAATCTTAGAAATGCCTCCAAATGGCTACACTTAGGTTAAGCTGTTGTGTGCTGTTGAGTCAGAACTGACTCATCCTGACCCTCCAGTGGGTTTTCAGAGGCAGTAAATTGCATGGCAGGAGATTACTCATCCTTCTCCCGCAAAGCAACAGGAGGATTCAAGTCATGTGCCTTTGGGATTGTAGCACAGCTTTCTACCACTAGGCTACCAGAGTTCCTTTTGGTCTTCTTACCTGTTTTCCTTGTTTCTTCTTGCAACAAGGACAAACTGACCATTCCTCCTATTGTATTTAGCCATGGTTGCAGAGCTAGGTACATACCAAGCAGGTGACTGTTCCCCCCGAAACTAAGCATTGTGTATTGTTAGCATTTTCTATCAGTATTTTTAATGTATTGGTAGTTATTTGTGTGTTGTTGTTGTTGATTGCCTTAAGTCGAGCATGACTCATAGCGACCCTGTGAACAAAAGGCCTGAAGCCCCTCTACAGCTATCAACATTTATCAAAGTTCATAGAGTTTCTGGAGGCATGTTGTTTAGGAAGTGGATGCCACTCCGGCTTCCGAACCTGTCATAGTATGTTATTGTTATGTGCCATTGGGTCACCTGTGATGTATAGCAACTCTATGTACAGCAGCCCTGAACTCTTTCCTGCCCTGAGCCAGTCTTACTAATTCTGACACACCAACCCCCACTGCCCCAGTTTCTCTATCAATCCATCTCATTGGGAATCTTCCTCTTCTGTACTGTACATCCACCCTTCCAAGCATGATGTCCTTCTCCAAGGACTGATCTCTCCTGGCCAACTGCTCAAAGTATGTGAGGCAGAGATTCAAAATCCTAGCCTCCAAGGAGAGATTTGGTTTCACCCTCTCCAAGACAGACTGATTTGTTGTCTTTCTTTGTTTTTTTTTTTAAATTATTTTTTATTATTATTATTTTTTTATTTTTTTTGTGTGCGTGTACCGTCAAATCAGATCTGACTGGTACAGGAGGAGATTGTCCCTCCTTCCCTGGCAGAGCATCTGGTGGATTCGAACCCTGCGCCTCTGGGATTGTAGTTGCAGCTCCTTGCCACTAGGCCACCAGAGCTCCCCTGATTTGTTTTCTTAACAGTCCATAGTATGTTCAAGATTCTTCTCCAGCACCACAATTCTTCTTCTGTCATCCTTAGTCATTGTCCAACTCTCTGAAGGATAACAAGAGAGAATAACAATTGAGAAGACCATGGCCGGGGTTAGGCACATCTTTGCATGTAGGCTGACATTGTGTTGGGGTACAAAATAGTTTGCCGCTAACCCTGCCTTTAGTGAAAAATCATCTTGTCTGCTGATGCTGGAACCTTGTCCCAATAAACTAAAACAAATACCTTTTAGGGAGCTCTGGAAGCCAAGTGGTAAGGAGTTGCCCTGTTTATCCAAAGTCATATGGTTCAAATCTGCCAACTTCTCCTCAGGAGAAAGATGGGCAATCAATTTCCAAGCAGTTTATTGCCTCTGAAAACTTGCTATAGGGTCAGCTATGAATCAGTGCCAATTCGATGGCAGACAACAACAACAACAACAACAACAACAACAACAACGTCTTTTAGTCTGTCTCTGGGACAATTTTTTGGTCTGACTATGGACAAGAGCCTTGGAGGGTTTTTTCTCTGGGGAACAAACTCAGCACAACCACACAGTGCATGTTATTGGGAAGGGATGAGGAAATGCATAAAGAAAGACCAGGATAATGCTTCCAGTCCCTCCCAAGTTACATAATAATTTTCAAAGTCATTGTTCCCATGGGATGCATAGTATTCCTTGTATGAATGTACCATAATTTCTCAATCCACTTGTTTGTGGCTGACATATGGACTGTTTCCATGTTCTTGCGATGGTGAATTATGCTGCTGTGAATATTGGTATACAAATCTCAGTTTGGGCTCCAGTTCTCACTTTCTCAGGGTATATTCCAAGCAGTGGAATAGCTGGGTCATTTGGAATTACTATGTTCAGCTTTTTGAAGAAGCACCAAACTGCCTTCCAGAATGGTTGTACCATTTTACAATCCCACTAATAATGTACAAGAGTTCCTTTCTCGCCACATCCTCTCCAACATTTATTACTTGCTGCCATGTTAAATTTTGCCACTGTTACTGGAGTGAGGTGGTACCTCATTATGGTTTTGATTTACATCTCTAACTCCATCTCACAAGGGCAAGTATTGTACAAAACCATTATTGTAGAATGAGTATAAGGATCCAAGGTGGGGGGGGGGAGCGGTCAGGGAGGGTGGAAGCAGAGGGATGAGGATTTGCGGGGGGGGGTGTTAATCATGGTGTTGTACAATTTGATGAGTGAGGTGGTGAGGGAAATTGGAAGATCTGTTCTGGAAAACAATGTACTCAAATTTTGTAAATAAACCAGTATAATAATTTTTCCAAAAAGAAAACCCAGAGGGGGCAAAGCTTGTCAGCAAGGTGGACATCTGAGAGGTTGTGGCATCAGAACTTATAGGAGTGGCAAGCAGATGCTTGGAGTCCCAGGTTTCCTTTGAAGGCCCTAGAGCTGTACTAAGCAGTCCCTGAGGCAAGGTGTCCCCACCACCCAGGAAGCCAGTAGATAGTATTCCAGTGAGCATCTGACTGTCTCCCCCATTGAACCCTCCTGCCTTTATGCTGAAAGAATTCTTCCTTCAATAATTGGTGTCCAAGTCTGACTGAGCATAGAGCACAGTCAATGTTGAGGCCTTGACCTGTTGAAGCTCTTCATGCAGGCCTAGTGGAAATCGTCAGGACCTGGAGTATCCTGCTGAGGTAGCCACCATGGGACGATCTCTGGAACTCCTGACACTTTTGAGTTGTGACCGATTCTGGATTCTAGTGGAAGGGTCTGGGTCTGGACTGTGGCCTGAGGCAGAGTGATGAGAGCTTATATATATATATATATATATATAATTAATTTTAATGAAAATTCACAGAGACTTTGGGTTTCCATTTGTTTATTGCTGCACTTTTCTCCCTGCCCACCCCTCCCCCCAGTTTGTTCTTCTCTTTGAAAAGTAAAAGAAACATTCTTTCATTATTATATAATCCCTCCCCCCAAGTCCAGTCCACTATGCAGCCTTTGTTCTGGACTCCTGTCATGGCAATAATACCTAATCATATATTCCTTTTAAATAGTTTTCTCCCTCATCTGTTTCAATGCAGTATACATTATTTATCCCATCTTTCTCATTCCCCACACCCCCCACCAGAGAGCTGTTTTTTCAAGAGTCCTCAAAGCCAAAGTGGCCACCCAGAAAACATGGCTGCCCAGGGCTCTTAAAAATGGGAGGAAAGAGCTTTCCTTCTTGGTGGTCATTTTTCTGAGGTTCCACAGAACTGGAGGTGGTGATGGTGGTGGTGTGACAATTGCATTTCCTCAAGGAACTTTATGGAATTTCAGGTTACACCTCTGAGATCCCCAAGTCAAGTCTTAGTGTCACCATGGCTGCCTTGGCACCATTCCTACTCTTCTTGTGGGGGCTGGGTCCCCAAACCTGGTTCTTTGGCTGGTATTCATCATCTCAGAGTTGACTCACTGTGTAGCCACTCAGTGAGCAGGCCATCTGATCACAAGTGAGCCAAATAAGAAAAATGAGGGGAGTTTTTGGAGCTGTGAAAGTGGATGAGGTTCCTCATGGAACCAAAGGAAGTGGAAATCGTACCGATCTATGTGCCTCAGAAAATACTTGATGTATCTGGCCTCCCTGCATATATGAGAGGCCAGCATGTGAACATTTGTTCTGCATTCAAAGCAGTAATGATGTTTTACCTTTCAGTTTCAGGGAGAAACTGGAAGAACTTTGCCCTGGTTCCCCTTTTAAGGGATGTAAGTACTCGAGAAAAGCCTGCCACCCAGCCTGAGGAGGTCCACCTGAGGCACTTTGCCGGCTCCCTTAAGCCAGAAGATGCTGAGGTCTTCAGAGATTCTACTGCTTTCAGGGAGAAATAAGGGACTCCACACAGCGTGTGCTCAGCACTGAGCCTGCTGCTGCTAGGGAGATCTTTTAGGGACCCTTGGCTCTGTCAATGATCTGGCCCCGTCTGCACTGCTGAAGGCTGTTAGGTGGGTGGAGCAAGGCTGGAGATGTATATTCCTTCCTCTTTGGGAACCAGAAGAAATGTGCATTCAACTTCATTGTCCCTGAGTGAATCTCCCATCAAGAAGTAATCCAGCTTTCAAGTTTCTGTTGACTTTATGAAACAGTGTGGACAATCAGTCTCTCCCTTGGTAATTGTTATGAGCTTGTCCTCTTTGGTTTTATATTACTGGGGGTAAATGTCTATGAACGACAGGAACTCACACTTCCTTTGTCGTAAAATGCGGACACCCCTCCTCTGCATTGTGCTTAATGCTTCACTTACCAGAGTGGTTTGCAGGTGATGTCATCATCCCCACCTCAGAGATGGTGAAGGTGGAAGGTGGTTCCACTCCCAACATCGTCCATGTCTATTTATTTCATCCTTCTGTGTGATATATATTGTTCCCAAAATATGAGTTCCTTTGTTGTTCAGATAAGAGTACAGAACCACATCCCAAAGCTGTATGGCAAGATTTTTTCAACAAACTTCCCTTAGTAACACCTACAGTTCTGCTTCCCCATAGCTGTAGCAGTGATCCTGTCGTCCATCAAATAAATATGTGTGTATATCAAGTGTGAACTTTGTACTAGGCATCGAGCTGCCATAGTTATTGTCTTTGTGTGGTTTGTGTGTGTTCACGTGTGTATGTGTGTGTTCACTGTTCTGCATGGCCAGGAATCTCATTATTTCGTTATCTGTGAGTGAGGACACTCCCTCACATATCTAGTCAACAACCTATGGCCTATGGACAAATCCAGCTTGCCCTCCACATTTGAAGGCACTCTGGCATAGTAGGTTAAGTGTTAGCATGCTAACTGAAAGGTTGTTTGTTCAAATCCTCTTGCTGAGCTTTGGGAGAAGAATGAGACAGTCTGATCATATTAAGATTTACAGTCTTGGAAACCAATGGGGCAATTCTAAATAAAGTTGTAAATAAAGTTTTCTTGGAACACAGCTATGCTTATTTTGTTATATATTGTCTGTGGCTGCCCTCTTTCTACAGTGGCAGAGTTGTGTATCTTCACACAGACCAAATGGCCTGCAAAAGTTAAAATATTTGTATTCAAAATGGGTGACCCTGGAGGACATTATGCTGAGTGAAATATCTCAGTCACAAAAGGACAAATACTGCATAGTGCCACTGTTGTAGAACAGGACTGATATCAGGGTTGGGGTGAGACTGAGAAAGATTGGATAAATTGTGTATACTGCATTGAAACAAATGAGGGAGAGAACTGTTTACAAGTGATATATGATTGGGTATCATGGTCATGACAGGAGTCCAGAATGAAGGCTGCATAGTGGAGTGGACTTGGGGGGAGGGATTGTATACCAATGAAATAATTTTTCTTGTACTTTTTAAAAAGAAGAGAGGACTGGAGGGGAGGGGTGGGCAGGGAGAAAAATACAACAATGAATGAATGGAAATCCAAAGTCTCTGTAAGAGACTTAAGAGTTGACTTACTTAAGAGTTAACTGACGTCCAGATTCTTGGAGTTTGGTGGGTAGAGATGTCCAAAGGCCATTGTTTCCTCTCTCTGCCTGCATCCTCTCTCAGGTGCATGCACACACATGCATGTACACACATACACACACACACACATACATACACACACACACACACGCATACACACACACACAAGGGGAGAGAGAGAGAGAGAAAGAGAGTAAACGAGAGGGAGAGAGAGAGAGAAAGTTTGAAAGGTCCTGTTCCTGGCACTGCTGCCTCCTCAGGCTGTTCTGCCAATTCCATTAGCGACTTTTACAAGAGACCAAGAAAGAGCTGGAGAATAAAAGGCAGCCTGTTTAGGCCTCTCAGGCTCCATGGTGCTGGGGATGGTGTCACGTGGTGGCCCAGCCAGCATGGGAGGAGGTAGTACTTCCGCACTGCACCATGAGGACCTCAAACACAGGACAAGAATCCCACCAGGGCAAGTGTCAGTGCGGTCTGGCCAGACAGAAATGCTGCCTTTGATTGGACGCCTGCATGGCCACATTGATAACAGCATTCCACTTGGGCCACCGTTCACGTGCCATGTGAGCCTGGCCTGTACAGTCCTTGTAACTGAGGAGTTGGGTCTATCTGTTTCACAGTCCCTGTGACCACAGAACAAGGGCCAATCTGGTAAGGCTGGGCCCCTCCACAGCCTCCAGCCAGGCTTTGCAGCCCTTCTCTGATCAGTCCATCTTATTCACAAGTTGCCTCCAGGCTTGTCTTCCCTCCTGGATCACATTGGAGTCCTTTATCAGCATAGACAGTCCTCCTTCCTCCAAAGTCTAGCTCAGATGCTCCCTCGTCTTTGAATGTCCTCTCCTTTAAAAAGCAGCAATTGATTCCAACTCACAGTGACCCCATGTGTGCCAGAGTAGAACTACTCCACAAAAGTTTTCAATGGCTGCTGTTTTGGGAAGTGGATCTCCAGGCCTTTTCCCTGAGTCACTTCTGAGTGGACTGAAAACAAAACAAAACAAAACAAAACAAAACAAAACAAAACAAAACAAAACAAAACAAAACAAAACAAAACAAAATAAAACCAAACCCCAGACTGCAACTGTCAAGTGCTTCACCACCTCTCCTTTCCCCCATTTTCTCCATCTTTAGAGTTCTGAGTCCTTGTTGTGCTTATAACTTGCTTGGTGGAGTTATGATCGCTACCTGAACTCCTCTCTCTTCACTCCTACAAGTTCCCTGAGGACAGAGACGACCTTCTCCAGTTCTGCATCTTTCCCTGCTCCCTTGCTTCTCTGTCTGGGCCTCTCTCTCACTGGGAGCTCTCCTTGGGTGTTGAATTAAATGGAATCAAACCTAGGGCAACACACGGGACTGCTATTTCCATGGGTTTGGGGGACTGACAGCAGCTCCACTATGATGGTTGACCTGACTCCAGCTCCCACTCACAGTTCCCCTGCCCTGTGTTGGGCTCAATATAATGCCTGTGGGTGAGAGACCAGGCAGCTTTTTAACCTGCTCTAGCTTTCCTTCTGAGACAAAATATTTAAACAGTAACGAATGAGGCAAAACTCAGCCGTAGCTCAGAAAGACGAGGGGCTGAGTGAGGAGAGGGCAGCTGAGCGATAGAAGAAGGGCTGTGATTACCCCAAACTTGTGCTTTACTGGTGGAGTTTTAGCCACTGTGATGGAAAACTCTGAGACCCTCTTGACATGAACAGCGCACACAGCTTTCTGTTCCAAGCAGGCTTGAGACTTTGATCCACAGGGGCTGGTTTTCTGCCCTCACTGGCTCCATGGCCTAGAAGCTTAACCCAGCCTCCTCTGTCCTTCCTGGTGCTGTTGGGTCACAGTGATGATGAACCCAGGGCCTTCCTCCTGATGGCAGCTGGGGGTGTCCCTGCTGCATCATCACCAGCTCTGTCTGTCCCTGTCAGCAGAGATGCCTTGCTCTGGTTCAGCCCTGACTCGCCCGCCCCCAGGAGCAGGTGTGTAATCCCTGTGTGATGCTGAGCCAGGCAGGGAGTGCTTCAGGCCTCCTCTTGCTCCGCCCCCTTCACATCTGCAGCCCAGGCCAGGCAGGAAGGCATGAAGCCCCCTCCTGTGTGCTGGCCTTGGAGGCAGGTGGCCTGGGTAGTTGCTGGGAGGAGGAATTGGCATGATAAAACCAGTGATAGCCCGGAGCTTTTATTGGGCTCCCTGTGTGTGCAGGCCTTGTCCTAGTCCTGTCTATTTGTTGTTTCATTTAAGCTCCAGGCAACCTTACAAAACACACACTCTGCTGTCCGGTCATTCTAACTGAAGGGAAGGGCAAAGAGGATCATCTCCATCTGGCACCAGAGGTTGTAAATCTTTGTGGACGCAGACTGCAGCATCTTTTTCCTGGAGTGGTGTGACTGGTGGGTTTAGAGTGCCTGGAGTCTTCATGACTGTCAATCATGCACAGGAGGAGATTGCCCACCTTCCTTGCAAGGAACCACTGGTGGATTCAAACTTCCCGAGAGGAGGTGCTTTGGGCTAACAACATGGCTCCCGAGGACTAACCAACAGAGCTCTTTTTGCCGTTAGCAGCCTAGTATTTCATCACAGTCCCTTGTAACCTCATACTCACTCACCCATTGCCATTGAGTCGAAACCAACTCACAGCTGACCCTCCAGCAGAATCTCAGAGGCTGCAAATCACACAGGAGGAGATTGCCCATCTTTCTTCCTTCTCCCTTAGAGCAGCTGGTGGATTTGAACCACTGGTCTTTGGATTGGCAGTGCAAGTTGTTACTTACTAGGCCACTAGAGCCCCTTCAAAAGGTTGCTGTTATGTGCTGTCAAGTCGATTACCACTCATAGTGATTCCGTGAGTCATGAATCTGAACCATGCTCCGTGTCGTGCCGTCCTGACCATCTCTGATGTACTTGAGCCCGCTGTTACTGTCATTTTCTCCATGCGTATTGTGGAGGGTTTTCCCTTCCTTTGAACATCCTCCATCTTTCCAAGCATGATGTCCTTTTTCAAGGACTGGGCTCTCCTAACAACATGTCGGAGGGATGTGAGCTGAAGTTTCACCATCCTTGCCTCTAAGGGGTGCATCTTGGTTGCACTTTCTCCAAGACATATTTCTTTGTTCTTTTGGCTCCAACATCACAGCTCAAAGGCCTTGATTCTTCTTCTGTCGTCCTTATTCATTGCCCAACTTCAGATGCATAGCAAGTAATTGAAAAGACTCTGGTTTGGATGAAGTCTACCTTAGTCTTTAAACTGAATCATTGCTCCTTAGTGCTTTGGAAAGGTCCTTGACAGCAAACCTTCCCAATGTGATATGTCTTCAGATGGCTTGACTGCTGGAACCAAGGGTATTGGTTGTGGATCCAAGTAAGATGAAATAGTTGGCAATTTCAGTCTTTTCTCCATCTATTGTGATGCT